CTGAAATAGATCTCTCACCCAATTTATTCTTTGTCTTAGCATCTGGATTGTTCCATAGCATTATCTTTAATTATTTGCTTCCCTGCTATTTTTCTCTCTCTACACTGCTTAGCCTGTGTCTGATTCAGAATTATATCTTTACAACTTCACATTGTTCTTAGCACATAACAATTTCTCACTATCTATTGATTAACCAATGAATGGAAGTGACAAGTTTGAAGAGAAAGAAGCTTTATTTTTCTGTTGCCCTGTGGACTTCAAGTGTTCTTTTCATTTATATATTTTTAAAAATATATTCTCTGTCAATATTCCATTAATAAGGCTGGCATGATATATCAATTTAATTTTTAGCTTGAGATGTGGGGTTGCAAAGAGTCGGACACAACTTAGTGACTGAACAACAATACATCATTTTAAAACATTTCAAGGATATTTGCATTTCTGTGGGAAAATTATTCCAAATTTACCTAGGGTATATCAATCCTAAAAGGTATCAATCCTGAATATTCACTGGAAGGTCTGATGCTGAAGCTGAAGCTCCAATACTTTGGCCACCTGATGCAAAGAGCCGACTCATTAGAAAAGATCCTGATGCTGGGAAAGATTGAAGGCAGGAGAAGGGGAAACAAAGGACAAGATGATTGGATGGCATCACCAACTCAATGGACATGACTCTGAGCAAGCTCCAGGAGATGGTGAAGGACAGGGAATCCTGGCATGCTTCAGTCCATGGGGTCGCAAAAAGTCGGATGCGACTGAGTGACTGAACAACAATATATTCCCCCAATGTTTGCTTTCCCATTTAAAAATGTTATTAAGTCTTTAAAATAAAAGTTCTCATTTTACTCCTCTGGGGGAAATGGCGTTTTGCTTACTGTAATGACCTACTTAGTAACAGGAAGGTATGTTCATGAAAATTTGACTCTTGGTCAACAGAAGAATGCAAAAAATGTCTTAGAAGTGGTTGAAGCAAAAGACCAGCTGCCTGACTAAGGTTTTAAAGAGTCAAGTGTGAATTCTGATCTTGTCTTGTCAATTAGAAGATGCAGGATTCTTGGGTAATTCCTTGCAGTTTTCCCAGCCTCCTCTCTAAGAGAAGAATGAAGCATGCCCTATTTATCTTTTTGCATTGTTGTGATCATCTTATTAGAAATCATATGTGAAAATGTTTTCAAAACTGCAGAAAACCCTACTCACACGAAGTCCTACAGTGTTTCTGAACATCCTTGCAAAATCCTCGTGTTCCACTGCCATTTCAGAGAGATTGTGGAAGATGAGCCAAGGCAATTATCTCTATCTATACGTCTCTGGAAGCATTTATTATTCCAGATCATGTGCCTCAATTATTCCAGATTTTGTGCAGAGATGCACAAAAAGATTGTATAATCCTTTGATCAATGGAAGTGGATGAGGGCTGGCTTCCTAGGCTATCTCCAGGTGGTTAGCACCTTAGCTGTGCATTTTTAAGAACTTGTATAACAGTGTTGAAGGGGATAGAGGCCCCGGGGATGGCTCTCTAGCTCCTCTGGGGGATGGCTTACTGTGTGCTGCTTCTGGATGGAGCAAGCTCCTTCCAGCTGGCAGCAGGCTTTTCAGATGTCCCAGTCTAGCTGCCCTCACTCACTCTGCCTCCACCCTTCCCGTCTCCCCTTTCCCCTTTCCTCTTCCAACAGAGACAAGGGAGAGGGGATCCTGGAGGGGTGAAAAGAAAGAACCATTTCAGTTCCTTTTACTTCCCCATTGCAAGCTGTGCTGCTGAGTTAAAAATACGTAATTTCATTTCCAAGTCTATTTCAACCCTTGCCTGGCCTACTGAGCAATCACAAACCTTCCCATTTCAATTCAGATCTTTGCTTTTAGCTTTATTTTAAAGGGAACACTGCTAAGTTGTCTAAACAGATATAAAGTAAATGATCTACAAAGAGCAGAAGTAGGATTAAGCGAACCAGGAAGTTAATCTGTATTTATAGCACAATGGTCAAAATCTGAATTATTTTCATTTCAAAAATGCCAAATTTTCCACAAGATATAAAATGTCAAGGAAAGCATCAAACCTGTGGCATTCAAGAGTTTCTGCTAACAATGAATTTTCTCACTTTTCTGTGATGCTCATTTATAACATCATGTAAACAGATTACACATTTTTCTGCAGGTGAGAATTACTGTTCCTCTGTTACATCTGGAATACTACACATTTACAGAGAATGACCCACTTCTAAATAATGAATCACATTCACCACAAATATTTATGAGCAACACCCCCCAAAATTGTGCTACATGGTAAATTATTAATAACAAATCAACTACTAACACTTAAAATAATGTGAATTCAACCCCTTCCCATAAAGCTATAAAAGAACCTCCAAGTGGGCAATGAATATCACTTGGCAGAGACAAACAAGATGACTAATGCCCTTGAAACATTTTAGCAGTCCTGCAGCTAACCAAAATCCAGCAATGGCTTCTATAGGTGGATTTCATTTATTTTATTGTCTATATACTATCATCGGAAAAGGTAGTTGGTAAAAAAAAAGATGCATCTACAATGGATCCCTTCTTCCTTTTGAATTATAACTTGCATTACAACCAAGTGGACAGATGTGATTTCAATTTTCCACATTTAATCATAAAATCATACAGTTTCAATAACTTTTTGCTTTAATTTATGTTCAGGGACATCAACTCACTAATGAATATTTAAACTACATGTGATTTGATACTTCTATTTTTTTTTCCTTTAATTAAAATGTCAAGTTTAAAAACTTTATGGGCAGATAAATCCTCTTTTATTGATATAATATAGCCTTAAATAGCATCACATCATCTGAAACCTTCTCCACACAGTTATTTTTGATCTAAAGTGGTAATTTCCCAGTCACTTATGAAAGATCGTGCATTGACAAATGATTCACTTCTGTAAGGAAGCCTTTTTTCAGATTTGCATGAAGGCAAATGCAGGGCTAAGCATCCTACCCCTAGAGAGGCAACATGAGAAGAACTGGGAGAATCTTTCATCCTCTCACCCATCTTTATCACTGTCAAAATGCAAAAAAAAAAAAAAAGAATTAAATCCCTCAATGGCTCCCAGTAACCTTCTCAATAAAATCCAGGAATAAGGAATAAAGCGGGCTCCTGGTTCCAGAAGACTGGATTCCAGTCTATCATTAATATGCCATGTTAGTCATTCAGTCATGTTTGACTCTTAACGAACCCAAGGACTATAGCCCGCCAGGCTCCTCTGTCCATGGAATTCTCCAGGCAAGAATACTGCAGTGGGTTGCCATTCCCTTTCTCCAGAGGATCTTCTCCTGTGTCCTTTGCATTGCAGGTGGATTCTTTACCACCAGAGAAGCCTAGTATATTCTGTTCCTCAGTAGAAATCACTTTCTCTTTCAAACATTCTCCTTCGTTACATGAGAAGAACAAGGCTGGAGAGACTCCTAAAACCCATCCAATTCTCTTTTAGTTTCAACAATTCTTTCTAAGCTGGGACCAAACACCTCTGGAATAATATCTAATTCTGTTCTTTTTCCCAGGAACATTCTGCTCCCATTTACTTTCTACACTCCCCATCCTTATCTCCTAAAACCCTCGAAAGGAAGCGCAAATGCCTCGGTGCTTCTAATACTATGATATTCATCAGAGAGTATCTGACAGCACCCCCGTGTTTGTGGGTTTGTCTTTTAAGTACACAACTTGGTCTAGGTTCCAATGTTGCCCATGCCATTTATTAACTGTGAACTTGGACCTATTGGTTATCTTCCCAAGCCTCAACTTCTGCTTCTGTAAAACAGGGATAGTAATTAATACCTTTCTCTCGGGGCTGTTGTGAGGTTAAACAGTAAGCTTCCTTATCCTTTAAGGTAGAGCCTGTGTCTTACTCGACTCATTTCCCAAGAAGTAACTAGATCAGAATAGTGGAAAGAACAGGAGCTCGGCGGTCAGAGACACGGGCTGAGGCTTTAGGCGAAGACTGTTCTCACTGAACTGGACTGAGAGGGTGTTTGAGGTTAAGACTTGTATCTTGAGATTTCTGTGAACCTGGTGCCTAGCACAGTGCTTGAGATTCTCATTACATAAGCAAAGGGACTATGGATGGGAAAAAAAGAGCAACAATGCTGTGATGGACGTGCCTCGATTAGACCCTTTATACATATTACTTCAGGAAGAAATAAAGCAGAAGCATCCCTGACTTCAAAGTCCTGGGAGGGAAGTAAGCAGCCACCTCTCCAAATAAAGTACAATTTGATCCCAGGGTGGAAGAGAAGAGGCAAGGACTGGGTTCTCTAGGAGAGCAGACAGCTTCGTGCCCTCGATTCCTGTCCTAGGTAGAACACGGGCGAGGTTTTTAGGTAGACCACGGGCGAGGTTTTTAGGTAGGCCACGGGCGAGGTTTTTAGGTAGAACACGGGCGAGGTTTTTAGGTAGACCACGGGCGAGGTTTTTAGGTAGACCACGGGCGAGGTTTTTAGGTAGACCACGGGCGAGGTTTTTAGGTAGACCACGGGCGAGGTTTTTAGGTAGACCACGGGCGAGGTTTTCAGGTAGAACACGGGCGAGGTTTTGGCTCAGGAAGTACCAGCACGTGGCGGGACAGGGGACTTAGAACCGGCTGCTCTGAGCACGGTGGCCAAGTTGGGAGAAGCCCATTCTCAGCACGCAGAGCAGCGGCCGGCTGAGCCCCAGGCCCCCGTTGTTGCCGCCTTCCCTTCACCCTCCCCCGCCCAGCAGCCAGGTCCCAGGAGGTAATTAGTGTGGGGGAGCCGCCGAGCTGCCGAGGGGGCAGGGAGATGGAAAGTACCGTGGGGGCGGCTTCTTGTCAGAGGTCTTGTCAAAGGAGGGGAGAGAGAGAAGGGGGCGGGGGGGGGGGGAAAGAGAGAGACTAACCGATTTTTCATTTTCGCATTCCAGGCATACCTAACGATATTCCCACAGACAGACAGGCAGACGCAGAGAGAGACATACAGAGGACACACTTGGGCGATTGAAATCGTTCATACCCCCAAATCCGGGACGCAGCCTGTTGTCATAACCATCGAGTAAACTGTCCAGGATGCGGGTAAAATTTTCTGGGCATAATTTCTCCTCTTTTTGGTTCTGTCCTGGGGATTCGTTTAAACTGCAAACGCACACACACACCAAAAACAAAACAAAACAAAACAGGCGGAGAGGTTATTTTAAGAATTGATCAACGAACAGGTGGAAACAGGTTTATGTTCTAGGAAGAATCTCTCGCCCCAAACTAAAGGAGCCAGGGCCGAGGGATGGGGGAGAGAGAAACGGCCCGGCCCGGGGAGGCGCAGCCCCCGCACGCGGACCCCAGGACCCACACCTCTCGGACCCCGCGCCCCTGCTGCTCTAGGCGGCCACCGGTCAGAGCAAAGCCGGGCTCCGCGCCCCTGACGCTACAGCGGAGACCAGAGGGTCTGGTTCGCGTCGGGAGGGGCGGGTGACCGGAGGAGACCCACAGCGGCCCCTTCTTCGTCTTCCCCTGGCCCCCAGCACCCCGGGGACTCACCAAGCCGCCAGGCACAGGAAGTGCAGGAGGGCGAAACTGACCCCGAAGGACATCGCGATCGCGGGGACCTTCTTGGCAGAAACCATCTTTGCAACATGCCATACTTTAAGCCTGTTCAGGTTTCCGGGCTCTCCAGATGCCCTGAGCAGGGTGCGAGGCGAGGGCAGAGGCTCTCCGCGGCGTGCGCACACTCGCGCTCCACTCGCCCGCGCTCCGCCAGCCCCAGCCGCGGTGGGCGCGTGTGTGCGCGCGGGCCGGGGAGGCGGATCCTGCCTTTCCTCGCCCCCTCCTTCTCTCGCCGAGCTCTCCGGGGCATGCAGAGCTGTGGATACCGCTCACACGCTTTCTCGCCCGCAGCCCGAAGCGGCCAGCGTTAACGCCTGGCGCGCGGATGCCGGAAGGCTGAGCGGAGTTCTCTCCGACGTTTAACTCCAGGGCGCGAGGCGGGGGCTGCAGCCTCCTCGGCAGCTCTCGAGCCCCGCGCCAAGAGTGTCCCCGCCCACGGCTAAGCCTTCCCTCCGGGGCATTGGGATTTAACCCCTGAAGCTCCTCCCTCTAGGTTGCCGAGGACCTGTCCGTACCCATTTTCCAGGTGGAGGTGGAGAAAGGGCGAGATGGATGGGCTTTCTGGGCGAAGGGGTGGGAGATCTTGATGGGGGCAGGAAATCGAGTCTGGACGGAAACAGCCTCTGGGACCCTCCCCTCCAGGTGCCGTGGGGCGGCGGAGGAAAGAAAGACCTTCCTGGTAAAAGGGCTTGCAACTCACTGGCGCTCTCTCGCCAAACCGTTGGGAGGTAGGCTTGAGCCTCGTCGTGCTGTCAACTCCTCTGCCAAGCTGTTGCTGCAAAGATAACACATTCCTTTAGCCACCCGCCGCCGCCTGGCACGCGCATGCCCCCTGCTTCGCTGCTCCATCCTTCCTCGGGAGGGAAGAGAACACGTGGAAACAAGGGACAGCAGGTCAAAATCGCTTTCACTTTTTGAGACACTTCACACTTTTCCTTTCACAGCAGAGCTGACTCCACATCCAGAACGCATCAAGGAGCAGGGAAAGGCTGTCTGGGGAAAGGGAGAGGAGAGCGCAGGAAAACAGTGTGTGGGTGTGTGTGTGAGTGTGTGTGTGTGTGGGGGTGGGTGTGTGAGTGTGTGTGAGTGTGTGAATGTGTCTGTGTGTCTGTGTGTGTGTGGGTGTGTGTGTGTGAGTGTGTGTGTCTGTGTGTGTGTGTCTGTGTGTGGGTGTCTCTGTGTGTGGGTGTGTGTCTGAGTGTGTGGGTGTGTGAGTTTGAGTGTGTGTGTGTGTCTGTGTGTGTCCGTGTGTGTGGGGGTGTGTGTGGGTGTGAGTGTGTGAGTGTGTGTGTCTGTGTGTGTGTCTGTGTGTGTCCGTGTGTGTCGGGGTGTGTGTGTGTGTCTGTGTGTGTCTGTGTGTGTGTCTGTGTGTGTCTGTGTGTGTGGGTGTGTGTGTGTGTGAGTGGGTGTGTGTGTCCGTGTGTGTGTGTCTGTGTGTGTGTGTGGGTGTGGGTGTGTGAGTGTGTGTGTGAGTGTGTGTGAGTGTGAGTGTGAGTGTGCGTGTGTGTGAGTGTGGGTGTGGGTGTGTGAGTGTGTGTGAGTGTGAGTGTGTGTGTCTGTGTGTGTGAGTGTGAGTGTGTGTGTGTCTGAGTGTGTGTCTATGTGTGTGAGTGTGTGTGTGTGTGTCTGTGTGTCTCTGTGTGTGGGGGTGTGAGTGTGAGTGTGTGTGAGTGTGTGTGTGTGTCTGTGTGTGTGGGTGTGTGAGTGTGTGTGGGTCTGTGTGTGTGGGTGTGTGTGTGTGAGTGTGAGTGTGTGAGTGTGTGTGTGGGTGAGTGTGTGTCTGTGTGTGTGGGTGTGTGACTGAGTGTGAGTGTGAGTGTGTGTGTCTGTGTGTGGGTGTGTGAGTGTGTGTGTGGGTCTGTGTGTGTGTGGGTGTGTGTGTGTGTGAGTGTGTGTGTGTCTGTGTGTGTGGGTGTGTGAGTGTGTGTGTGGGTGAGTGTGTGTGTCTGTGTGTGTCTCTGTGTGTGTGGGTGTGTGACTGTGAGTGTGTGAGTGTGTGTGTCTGTGTGTGGGTGTGTGAGTGTGTGTGTGTGGGTGAGTGTGTGTGTCTGTGTGTGGGGGGTGTGTGAGTGTGTGTGTGAGTGTGTGAGTGTGAGTGTGTCTGTGTGTGGGTGTGTGAGTGTGTGTGTCTGTGTCTGTGTGTCTGTGTGTGTGTGTGTCTGTGTGTGTCTGTGTGTGTGGGTGTGTGTGTGTGAGTGGGTGTGTGTGTCCGTGTGTGTGTGTCTGTGTGTGTGTGTGTGTGTGTGGGTGTGGGTGTGTGTGTGTGTGTGTGTGTGTGTGCGTGTGTGTGTCTGTGAGTGTGTGTGTCTGTGTGTCTCTGTGTGTGTGGGGGTGTGTGTGTGAGTGTGGGTGTGAGTGTGGGTGTGAGTGTGTGTGGGTGTGTGTGTGTGTGTGTGGGTGTGTGTGTGTGCGTGTGTGTGTCTGTGTGTGAGTGTGTGTGTCTGTGTGTCTCTGTGTGTGTGGGGGTGTGTGTGTGAGTGTGGGTGTGAGTGTGGGTGTGAGTGTGTGTGTCTGTGTGTGAGTGTGTGTGTGTGAGTGTGTGTGTCTGTGTGTGTGTGTGTGTGTGTGTGAGTGTGTGTGGGTGTGTGTCTGTGTGTCTCTGTGTGTGTGGGTGTGTGAGTGTGTGAGTGTGAGTGTGTGAGAGTGTGTGTGGGTGTGTGCCGAAAATGAAAGCGACGTCTCAGAGTTCACTAGTGACTTGAAACACTATGCAGTGTAACTTTAGTGTTGCATTGAACAGATAAGCACTTTCAGTAGAACTTTTAAAAACTTTAGTTATTGATTCCAAGAAGGAAAGGTGTCTTTCACCTTAATAGTGATTACTATGGAAATACTTATATGTTGGATCAATGACCTAAGTAAATTTCTGTATAGGTCCCTAGAACCCCCAATAGTTATGTTCTGTTTAGAACTTTGATGGTTTGTTCAAAATTTGATGACTGGTGGACTTATTTGATATGGAAACAATCAAACCAAGGGAGTTTGGTGTTGTGTTTTGTTTTTTGGCGTGTGTAAAATAAAAATTTCTCCTGCCATGTTAATCAACAAGAAATGTCACAGCCATCAGTGACTTCTGGCCTCCAAATGTGAATGCAGGCTCCCATAGCTTCAAGACTTCGGATGCTGCCACCCCCAGGATGATTGCCGAGGAGCTGGGGGAATGCTAGAAAACAGGACTGACTCCAGACACCTGAGAAGCATCTGAAAGGAATGAATTCAGGGAGCTAGAGGGCTGCATCTTCCTCTGCACAGAATGCTAAATTCCTTAATACCTGATCTTTGATGTTCAGAGGGCCCGCTCCTTTTGTTGCAAACTAGTGTGTGTATAGACTGACTTCTCCCTGCCCCTTTGGAGCAGTTTTCTCAGAGCTACTGAGATGTTGTCTCCTGGGCTCAGAGTCCGAAACATTCCCACCAAGTAAAATAACTCTCTAGTTTCAGGTTGTGCTTATATTTTTTAGTCCACACTTGTTTGTTTAAGTCTCCTAGTTAATTTTTTTCTTACAAAAAGGAAGACTTTCCTGATTGCCAAAAAGGCATAAGAGCCAGCCGGAGGTATGCAGTCTCACTGTATTCTGCACTACCTCCTTCCTGGCTTTTGTTACATCGCATTCTGATTCGGTCTGTGTCTTTCTCTTAATCTCCTGGAGGTCCTGAGCTGGGTAACTTTTCTTCTCTGAGTTTACTTTTTTCTAATACAGTGCAGACACCTAGTACAAGGACAGGAAATATTTACTGAAGGAACAGTTAAATTAATGAATGGTTTGTTTCCAAGTCCATATTAATTAACTTGGATGAAACTCAAGTTCAGGTAAGCCCTTGGGGGAAACAGTGGAAATACTAGTGTATTTCCCAAATAGCCCATGAAAACTTTGTCTCAGAGTGTCCACATAAAAGATGCTAATGCATTATAGTATTATTATATCAAACTATATTATTTCTCCCATCTTAGTGCTTTCCTACACTTTCTAAAATCTAATTTAGTATTCTCTACTTTTCTTTACAATTGCCATTAAATATGTATATACAAAACTGCATATGGATATATGTGTGTGTGTGTGTATATATATAATAAAGAATAGAAAACTATGACCTTGGGGAAAAGAAGTTCTATATTGTTCAAACAAATTATCTTTAAAATATTAATTTTAAGTATGTAAAACTAAAACCTCACAAAGCATAAAATTAAGATTTCTCCCTTCATATAGCTATTTCCAATTTTATTTTTACTAACTGACATCTAGTACTTAAAATCGACTGAAGATAATGGTAGAAACACTTATATTTCATTTTTTTACATCACAGACTTCTATTTACGCTATCTGAGGGCTTCCCTGTTGGCTCAAATGGTAAAGAATACGTCTGCAGTGCGGGAGACCTCGGTTGGATCCCGGACTTGGGAAGATCCCCTGGAGAAGGGAACGATTACCTACTCCAGTATTCTTGCCTGGAGAATTCCATGGACAGAATAGCCTGGCAGGCTACAATCCATGGCGTCCCAAGAGTCAGACACGACTGAGCAACTTTCACTTTCACCTTTTTCATATACTATTAAAGAAGTTACATGTTGGATTTACAGTCTAAAATGTTAAAAAAATATATATATCTATGCACATGTATGTATCATCAGTTCAGTCACTCAGTCATGTCTGACTCTTTGAGACCCCATGGACTGCAACATTCCAGCCTTCTCTGTCCATCACCAACTCCCAGAGCCTGCTCAAACTCAGGTCCATTGAGTCGGTGATGCCATGCAACCATCTTATCCTCTGTCGTCCCCTTCTCTTCCCACCTTCAATCTTTCCCAGCATCAGGGTCTTTTCCAATGAGTCAGTTCTTCGCATCAGGTGGCCAAATTATTGAAGCTTCAGCTTCAGCACCAGTCCTTCCAATCCATCAGTCCTGAATATTCAGGACTGCTTTCCTTTAGGATTGACTGGCTTGATCTCCCTGCAGTCCAAGGGACTCTCAAGAGTCTTCTCCAACACCACAGTTTAAAAGCATCAATTCTTCGGCACTC